TCGTTTGAAATAACTATCTGTTTTGCTTTTCTGAAGCAAATGGTAGCTTAATATATTGAGAGGTCTGCCGGATTTTTCAACACTCAAGTTTCGTTAATATCCTCAAGTTTGATTCAATTTACTTTTTGTTGATGAAAATTTATCAAGAATCGTCTTAATCAGAATTGCGGAAAAGTTTCAAAGTTTTGAAGGTGCATTGCATCATGCTTCTTTCGGAATTAGATGTAGATACTTTGACAAAATATTTTTTATTATTTTATGTTTGTATACAAAAATTCAGATATCATATACACATACCTGAAAAGGTTGACTGCAGTTTGATTTACACTCCAACAAAACGAAAATTTTACTTCCTTTGCATCGAATTTCTAATACTTGATCTGGCAGGGAATGTTTTATAGCGTCATACGTCCATGTGATATATAGTTTAATAGAAACGCGAGGACGAATGGCGAAGGACAGTATTTGGGAGTTAGCTTTCCTTTAATTTTAAGCATTATTGATTATTCAATTCTAATGTAGAGAGCTGTTCGGGGAGTAACGAATGGCAAACGGGATTGTGAAAGACTAAATGGAAAATCGCTCGAGCCTTTTACGCCAAATAATTTATGTTTTGCCTCTCTTTGCTGATTTACTTTCATAACACATTACTTTACAGCTACACCATCTGAAAATATTGCATATATATATGTAAAATCCAATCTGAAATAACAAAAATATATTGCACTTACCGTAGGCGCAAACAGACAATCTCTCTGAAGTTAATGTAAATGCAATTTAAATAATTTCTTTTCTCTCTCTCTTTTTTCCGCCTGCATGACTAAATCATTTATAATATTTTATTCAATATAGTGAAAAATTATATTAATTTAAACATTAACAATGAATATAATTTATTAACTTTGAACTAATGCTGGCGAATTATGTGACCTTATAACCAATAAATTTATTTTTTCTTTTTCGAGAAGAGAGAAAGAGAGAGATAACCAGCTGACCAGCTTGAACCGATTATTTGATACTCATTATAAGCATTAAGTTTAGTATAGTGGCGTGGTTAATTTTTAAAAAACATTGTGATCCGAATTATTTGCGACGTTCAGTTAATGTTATTTTCCTTTCTGTCTGAAGCTTGACGATTTCTTTGCTGTGGATTATACTTAAGTTCTTCATGATTTGCAATCCATCAGCCCAGTTAAGTTCTAAATTGTACGATGCATGCAGAAACATGTGCTTTATTTACTGTAATTCAAATCTCTTGAAGGCCATGAAGGTGCATGAACAAGCAGAAATAACTGCTATCGGCTTGATATTGAAATCTTTGGTGCATACGAAACGACGTATGCAGCTTACTATAATTCATTGTATGGAATTCTTAACAAAAATAGAAAAAATTTTATTTTTTAAAGCAAAGAGTTTTATATTTAGTCGTTAACACACAACCTACAAAACCTACAAACATTTGATTGCATTGTATAAATTTTATTTAATGTAAAATACAACAAAAAGTATTTAGCATTATAAGCAAACACATGCTCACTTATACATATACATATCCAAGTAAAGTGAATAGAGACATGTGTACATGTGTGTGTGCGTACATAGACTTATATTTATTGACATACGATACTAAATATTAATGATTTATGAACCAGACTCAAAAACAAGTCACATACATTTTTCTGCTAAGAATTCTCTAATACAGGTAGAGGTGGTTTTTCCTTCTTATATATATATATATATATAAGATATATATATATATAGTATAATATAGTATAATCAGTTGCAAGTGTTCGTGCATGTGTGTCGACATGTACGTGCGTACGAGTTAAACAAATATTAATCGACAGTATTTATGAAGAAACTAAAGCAATAAACCAAAGTTAACTTTAATATATTTAATATATTATATGTTTCTGTGCCGTGTTTGCTTTTACATGCTTATATGTATGCGAATATTTTGTACACAAAAAAAAAAAACGCACCCACACATCTGAAACATTTTCCTTTTTTTTTAATTTTCTGGTTTATTTGTTTAGCGCAAAATGAATTCCATAAATAATTACGTGTGCTTACAGTTTATCTGATTTAATTCATTATAATTTACTGAAACTATATTAATTAAAATTGTTACACACACAATTTTTTTTTATTTTCCTATAGAGTCTTCTCTTTCTTCCTATTTCTCGCTCCGTATTTTTCGCTCTCCTTCTCACTCTCCTCTCTCTTTTTCACGTGCATTCTCTCCCTCTCTCTCTCTCTCACTCTCCCTCTCTCCTATTATGACTCACTCTCTATTTTATTTGTATACAGTCCCGTGTTTTGTTTGTTGGGCTCAGTTATATGTATTTTAAACACATTTTGAGCAACAATAACAAAGACAAAAAATAGCACGCATTGAACTTGAAATTGAAATTATAACACCCCAGAGTTGCTTTCATTAGCATACTTGGCATTGTTGCTGTTGTTTTAATCTTATATATATATATATATATATAAGTATATGGTTACATATATATATACATGAGTTTGCGGTATATTTTTTCTCTCTTATTCTCTCTCTATTTAAAAATATTTAATATATAAAATGAGACATTGGCCTGTGAACTTCGAGATATTTGCATCTCCTATCTTCAACTATCCGCAATTACAAAATTGTACAGTGCATCCATTAAGTTGGTCCATACATTTATAGTCAGGCTTTCAAGGCAACAACACATTGGTAATCGAATGTAATAAAAAGAAGGTAAACTAATTATTTTCTTGATAGTTAGCGCTCGGTCGATACTCTCAAACGCGCAATATAACGACATTCTTTTATCTGTTTTCTTCTTTCTTAAAAACCGCCGCTGAAATAAGAATTAATAAATAGATTTCACACAATATATATATATATATATATATATATGTATATGTGTATATATGTACTTATGTATATTCATATTCACATTCACGTATATATATTTAAATGTTGGCCTAAAATTCAGAAAGTTTACATGTTTTCGGTTTTTGTTGTTGGCTCCCGATCAAACTAATTTAGTTCAATAAGTTAATTTTTTCAATACACGAATCTAGATCAATTCCACCGGACCATCTTGAGATAAATTGAGATAAATAAATGGTGACCTATGCAGCCCGGCTACTTGACACCACGACTTAGCTTTGTTGATTTGTTTGGAATTCAAATTCTAGGATTTAAATAAGGGATTGAATCTGTCATTGTTGGCTTTCAGCTCTTCTGTTGAAAGCCCATTTTTCAGCCGCGTGCACTTTGTCTTTCTCCTAAGGTAATTTTTCGATTGTTTACTTTTCATCAAAAGCGAGAGGGAGGAGCTAAGTTTTTTTTTCTATTTTAAATACGATATTTAACACTAAAACTATATTGACTAATTTCAAGATTTTTATTTTTTTAAATGGAAGACTTTTATTCAATTCTTCTCCTATCTATTCTCGTTTCGAGCTGCCGCGGACAAACATATATCTATTTCTACCAAAGCGGAGCATTCTGTCTCACCTGTTTTTGTAAGATTGCCACAACTGCAAACATTAAAATACAAACTTCAAATTTGACATGTGCCAAGATGGGGTTAAAAAATAAGGTTGATCTACTGCGTGACTGAAGGCAACGTCGAAGCGCAGATTTTTCTTCATTTTCGTCAACAGCTTACGTTTCCGTGAAGATAAATTTCGAATGAATGTAATCTACACATTTGTCAAATCGGCTCAGAATTGGTCGTAAACGATTTACTAACCTACCTGCCATTAACGGGAGTTTTAGTGTTAAAATAGTGTTTTTGAAGAAACCGCAATATATGAAAAATTAAAAACTTTTGTTTTTTTTTATGAATAAAATATTAAATCGGGATATGTGGTAATTAGTTAAATAGCAGCCGAAGTTAATTCATAATTCAGTTTGCAAAAGCGTTTACAATACCCGTAAGCAAGCTTCAAAAACTCTCTGAAATGCGAGAATTCTTGACATGTACCGGATTACGAATTGATCCAGGAATGTCCGTTGTCTGCCTGTGTAATGCCCATGGCAAAAATTCTCCAGATCGTAAAAATCAATATCATGGCTTTAAATTTGGAAGAACAATTGCAAGTGCTCCAAGAGATCGGTTGCAACATACACAAGCACTGCGCTTGTTAAAGGTCGAAAAACTTGTTTTTTCGCTTAAGGCCTATATATGCAATAAACACAACGAACAAAACTTCCACACATATATTCCGTGAGGGATATGAATATGAAATTGCAAAAATTTCAACTATTATAGATTATCGAAACTTTCTTTGGTTTGGTTGAGTTATTTTTACATGAAAATGGCGAATAAGAAAATTATGTTGAACTAAAACCAAATCCTTTATACGTTTATCTCTTAAAAAAGGCTAAAAATAAAACGAGAAAACTGAATTTCTGTACTCTATAATACAGGACGTGGGCGTGGTAGGCGAATGTTCACCGTAGACATTACTTAGACAGACATACGGACTTACCTCAATCCAATCAGATTTTAATGCTGTTCAAAATAAATATGTAAGGCAGGAGATTGGTACTATCCAGACACTGTAGGGGTCTATCAGTAGTGTTACCAACTATGCGCCATACGGTCAAATGGCAATAGAACTTCTGATCGATTAAATATACAAAGAGTGGGTAGGCTGTTTCAAACCTAATAGAAATGTTAAACCTATAAACTGCATCCAACATTCTTCGATAATGAGTAAGAAAATTTAAAAAAATTGAACGAAATTCTCAAGGAGCAGTTGGCTATGTTTACAGGCTTACCCACAGTTCCCCATTGATTACTCGACTTCAACATTAAAGTCAGTTGGACGTTTGAACTCATGCATACAAAGAGCGGTTCTCTCGTATAAGGAAACTAGTGTTTTCGCCTACTAGGTTTAATATGAGGCTTCAGTCTTCTATTATAAATATTTTAAGTTGAATGTCTGTCTGTTCTCAAAATGTTTATATAAATATTTTATTTTCATTTTCTTTATAGAGCTCTACCTACTGCTCGTCCACGTTCCACAGATTCAGCCAACTCAAGTGAACGTTGTCCATCTCATGAATCGAATTCCTCCGAAAATGGTAAAGAGTCCCGAGAGAATGCAGTTAGTAGTGCAGCAGCAGCGGCAGCGGCCGCAGCTGTAGCCGGTGTCTTACCTCTGCCCAATTCTCCGACTGCGACTTTTCCGACTTTGCCAAATATACCTGCACAGCCGCCTTCCATGGAAGCATATCTACATATGGTAGCAGCAGCTGCCCAACAATACGGATTTCCTTTAGGACCAGCAACCGGTCCAAGACTGCCTTTACCTCTACCCACGGAAAGTTCAGCGTCTTTTAAGTTACCACCGCAAGCATCACCCACAGCTTCGAGTAATAATTCAGAGGCTTTGGACTTTCGCACTAACCTATTTGATCGCTCCGCATCCGTAGAGCCGCCCGCTTCAGATGAAGACGAAGAGGAAGAGAATGCAGACAACCCCTTAGATTTATCAGTAGGTACAAGAAAACGTTTAGCTGATGATGCAGCTGAACCAGACTCGACTATAGGTCAAATTCAGGTTAAAAAAATCTTCAAGTCAGATAGTCCACCAATGTCAGCTGTTCCAACTTCAGGTGCGGCTAATCAAGTACCTACTACACCCATGTTGCCCAGTGTTAATCCCTACCTCGCAGCCGTGGCAGCAGCAAATATTTTTCGTGCTGGTCAGTTTCCCGATTGGAATGGTAAAAGTGATCTCGTTGTCGATCCGTTGGAGAAAATGTCCGATATCGTTAAAGGTCCGCGTAAGGAGAAACCTACCCGATCTTCTGGGCCAAGTGTTTCGACAGCAGCTGGTGTAAATCCTGTGGCTCCACCTCCTCCTCCCGTTCCGACAAGTACGGCTGCTCCTTTGCCCGCCTCAAATGAGGGCATAACTAAAACTCGTCACAATATATGGCAATCTCATTGGCAGAACAAGGGTGTGGCTAGTTCAGTGTTTCGCTGCGTTTGGTGCAAGCAAAGTTTCGCAACACTGGAAGCATTAACAGCTCACATGAAGGACAGCAAACACTGCGGTGTTAATGTTCCACCATTCGGAAATCTTCCTACTACGGCCGATAGAACACCAATGTCCTCTGCTCAAGCCCCGTCCGGTGGTCAAGGTCATATGCGACAAACATCAAATAAATCTAACGCAAATACACCCTCTGCAGCTGCTAAGAATGCATTCCAATATAGAGGCGATCCCCCCACTCCACTTCCCCGTAAATTAGTACGCGGTCAAAATGTATGGTTGGGCAAAGGCGTCGAGCAAGCAATGCAGATCTTAAAATGCATGCGCTGCGGTGAAAGTTTTCGTTCACTAAGTGAAATGACCAAACACATGCAAGAAACTCAACACTATACTAATATTCTCTCGCAAGAGCAAACGATCTCTATGAAATCGTCCTCCACTACAGGTGATAATAAAGATGGTCAGAATAGCTTGAGTTCCGAAGAAAGTCGCACACTTAGTGCAGTGCTGACGTGCAAAGTTTGCGATAAAGCTTTTAACTCCCTAGGGGATCTTAGCAATCACATGGCAAAAAATAATCATTATGCCGAACCATTAATGCAGTCCATGGGTGGAGCAGGTAACAGGAAACGTCCAGCGCCTAAAAAGAGGGAAAAATCTTTACCCGTACGCAAACTATTGGAAATGAAAGGAGCTCAAATGGAACAAGAACATCAGGAAATGGACATGAAATTACAACGACCTGGCTTGGGTCCAAGTCCCGACAAAACTGAGGCTGCGTTGTTCGCTGAGCGCATGCATCAATTTATTTCAAGTGTGAAGACAGCTGGGGAGAATGCAAAAACTAATTTAAGTGTCAATAATTTAATTTCCAAAACCAAATCTCCTGAGATAATGGAACCAAAAAATGGCGCCAACAAATCGACGACTGGTACATCGTCGGTCTTAAGCGCCATAGAGCAAATGTTCACAACCAGCTTTGACACGCCTCCTAGACACGCCACGCTACCAGCAAACAGTCCTTCCAATTCGTCTACCAAAAATACCTCGCCTGTAGCTTCAAGTATACTCAAGCGTTTAGGCATTGATGAAAATGTTGACTACAATAAACCATTAATTGATACAACAGATCCTTATTATCAGCACTACCGTTATACAAGCAGTGAGAGAAGTGCTAGCGAATGTAGTGCTGAGACGCATGTTGAAACACGCAAATTAGAAAATCCTACACCAGAGAAAATGCATATTGAAGAACCGTGTTCTCATAAAACGGATTATGGCCTAGAAATTAAGAAGGAACCTGGAGCCGAAAAATTGTTCGTTGAAGTTCTACACACCGAAGAGCATGGCAGAGGCGAACGTGTGCCAAAAATTAAAATGGAAATCAAGTCCGAAGTCGATGAGGATGACGAGCGGAAAAGCCCTAAGATCAAAATAAATGATGTAACCGCTAACGGCACCGACTATAGCAACAATAACACCAAAGAATGTAATGTAACCTCGCCTAAGGATATAAGTCCTGTACCTCGTACATTGCCTCCGCGTAGTCCCACCGATAGCCATCGCTCCATAACTCCTAAATCCCCAGCTTCAAGTATCAAATCTTACGATGGTGGTGAAAAGAAATATCCAAGTGATTCTTTAAATGCTCTATCTTCCATGTTCGATTCTTTGGGCAGTAACGCTTCGTCTTCCACCAGTATTGGAAATCGAAATTCAGCGGCGACCAGCTCAATGCTCAGCAATAAGATCGATTCGCCAGATAATCTAAGCACCTCCAATTCTCTTGCCGCCCTACGTCAATTCTGTATTAAGAAAGAGAAAACTGCTTAAATTCTCGTATTCGTTTTCGTTTTCAGTTTGTTTAAAACTACACGGAAGAGAAAAAGAGAGTCGCTCGTCAGCTACACACAAATGTGTCTTCACAAAACATTTGTTTTTTGTTTTGCTCTAATTTCGTTGGTGTTTGCCAGCCGCCACGAATTTTACTGATTTCTGTTTTCCACACAATGGTGTTTGCGCCAAAGGCAAGAGTCCTTTTAATCAAATGGTCCGCCTGAATGTGGTTATCCTTGGATTATTTTTTTAAATCTGCGAATACAAATATAAATGAAGGAATAAACAATAATAAGATTTAAATGTGAAACTTGCTTGCTTCTCTGGGAGTGTTGTTCGTTAATGACAAGGAAATCGTTAGGCACAAGACCCGAGAATGTTAAGATCTTCGGTACGAAGATATACGTTTGAGCAGTTGATTAGAAGCTGAAGAAGAAAGGGGAGCATGCTACGGCAAAAGCCTTGCGAAACAGAGTGCACAAGGCACAGGAGCGAGAGAAAAGAAGCGAAGATCGTCGCGCGTCCATTTAAACGATGACTGATGTCCAAGAAATGGATCTCAATTCTCTCTGTGTACCTTTAACATCAATATTATAAGACCAGTACTATTACATAGCGGATTAAAGCCACAATTACTCGTGCTATCAAGAGAACAGCATAAGGTATATACAATATTTTTATTTTTATATTTTTACACCCTGCATAGCTTGGGGGTGCGAGGATATATTAACGGTATTATTAAGTTTGTGCGGATGTACGCAGCTCCCTGAAAGACTTGAGGCAAACACACGTCTTATTTTACCGATCAATTCAGAATCATGTTCTGAATCTGAAGTTCTGTCCGTCTGTCACTCGTGTTTTTTTACGTTTGGCCAATAGTTCGCCATTTTTGAGATATTTTGACGAAATTTTGTGCACTGGAGTACTTCGGTCCAACGGCGAACATTACTCAAAATGGTTCGTATCCGACCTGTCTGTCGACTCACCTTCCATATAACGCCTTATTTTGAAAACCTGTTGTTAATCCTCAATTCGTAAATGTCCTCAAGACGTAACATTTTAATAGCCAATAGAACGCGCTAATATTTCATTAATTACTTAACTATTTCTACATCATTTGCTGGTGCCATAATTATCAAGAGTTTGTTTTATTTTATTCTATTTTCAGTGTTTTAACTCAGATTGTTCTCGCATATCCAGTGGTCACTATGCAAAGAACACTCAATCGTAATAAGTCCGGAAATTTTCGCTTACAACTAGAAACTGGACAACATCAAAAACGTTATGAAGGATTACATGGATTAAATCTGTTTAGTTATGTGTGATTTCAAAAAAAAACTGAATGCCGACAAAATTTGCTGTAACATCAGCCCTTTTCAGGGCTGCAATTAACTACGATAAAAAGAGATGAAATTTTGAAGCGTTTTAGCATAAAACTAATTTCTCAAAAATGACAAAGATATCTTCTAGTGTCTTAAACCAATAAAACTGGGGTCGATTCGTTCACGTTCTCGAGCTAGCTCACGTGACGAAACATAAGAGAGACAGAATCGTTTTTTGGGTTCGTGGTACTCGATTGCTGTCGTATCAACTTAAGGTTAACATTCATTGTATGTTCAACAAATGTGATATCGTCGTCGTCTGTGTAGCAAAATAATGCCGATAATACAGTTTAAAATGAAAAATTACTTTTCAGCTAAGTGGGGAACGAAAACTATAAACTGACTACTGATTTTTAAATTTCTCTCATCCCAGTAAGTCGCTGTCATTGATCTGCACTTCAAAGGGGTTTACAAATTTCATAATATTCATATTAGAATAGAGAGAGGTTTTAGGGTGAAACGTACATGTAACGCGATGAGAATTATATTTAACGAGGTTTTAGGAATGTGGAGGGACACTATTTAAAGTCCATCATATCAATCACAACACTTCTTATAGGCGAACTTTGGAAACAGTTCCCGGCTAGCTATTATAGAGCACAGGATACCGACGCATTACAAAATAGAAGTGGTACTTGAGTCTAATATTATAAAATGAGTTTTCCGCTTCTTTTAATGTCAAAGATATATATACATTTATGCAAAGTCAGGCCGACGGCTTGTTGCAAAGGTGAGCCAAATTAGTTGGGAAAATTAATACTTTTTTCGTACATTTTATTTAAAGTAGATTCCCCTACAACACGATAATTCGTTTTTTGTTATGTAAATGTGTGAGTCAGTTAGATTATATCAATACAAAGTCATCCACGACCCGAAGCCATTTTTTTACTTTTTTTATGTGTAAAATAAGTTTTTTAAATATATATATCATTTTCATCATTTCATTTCTTCAGAGACCTTTAACCTTTTTATGGCCCGAAAAAATTGACTTTCTTTATACGGTATATTCACTTTATATTAAAAGGAATTGGAAAATCGGGGTCAAGACGCCACATGACAACAATTGCTATAATCGTTAAATAATGCATTTTTTTTTCCATAAGAGACAGAGAGAGAAATATATATAAAATTGATCAATACATGTTTTCTGTCCTATACTTTTACCGTACTACGTGAGCCGATTTCAGCATATTATACGAATATGATCGTCATTTTCTTGCGAATTCTATAAATGCGTCTTACATAAAGGTATGTAGGTCTATCGTATTTACATTCCATCATTGGGGCATTTGTCAATATAAAAAATAATTTTAAGCTTAAGAATTTGTTGAATATTTTTTTTTAGCTTTTGAAATTGAAAATAAGTTTCAAATCTTTCCAACAATTTGACACTTCGGCGTATACCTGCCAACTTCACGGACTCAACATACGCTATAAAAAATGTGTTTCTTTGAATAGAAAAGCCTCGTTAATCTATACGCATACACATAGAACATTTTTTATTTTCGCGTATCGCGCAACGCTATTTTACGTTAAATGCATGTGTGCAGCTAATAGACGGGCGCATAAATAGTAATTAAACATATTTCAAAATCATTCAGTTTTTAGAATTCCAATTATCATAAAATTTACGAAAAAAACACTAAAATGGACCGCCCTCCGACACGCCTCACTCATAATTGTCTGTCAAAAATTTAAATAAAAAAATCTAAGAAAAAAAAAATAAATTTCAAAAAAATTATATTCGCGTAAGCCATTGCATGCAATTGCATTGCAACTGTGAGTTGCTGTCTAGCATATGTGCAACAGAATGTGTTATGCTATCTGTGTTCACAGGCGCTCGCTTGTGTGTGTGCTGCATTGTGTTATATCACATGCATCTAATTTATCAACAAGTTTAATTTCTGTAAAAATAAATTTACTTTTAATCATTTAATTGAATAATTAAAATTTTTTTAATGCACACAAAATTTTCTCAATCGCTTTTTTGTTGTTGTTATTGGTCTCGTTGAGCGCTTTTAAAAAATATAAAAAATTTACCGAATAATAGAATGGAGAAAATAGCATACAAACATCCATTCGAATGCAACAACAGTAACAACAATAGTGGCATTAGCAAGCAACCTGTTTTTCTAAAGTCGAATAAAGTTATTTGCCGACGGTTGGCTGAAAAGGTGTAAATGACGGCTCCAACACACCAGCAGGCGAGCAAAAATGGAAAATCGTTGCCAGGGAATAAATGCATACATACATACATACATACGTGCATAGACATTAACAGCAAAATACCTGTTTCTTGCAACTTGTGAAGCTCTCTACTGTGTGTTCTGTTCGACGGCGTTGGCGGTGGTAGCACAACTTAGAGAGTTGCACCTAATCATTACGATAATAACGCAAGCGAGGATAAACATGTACTTAAAAATACTCGTCTAGCATGTGCTAACTGACTATAACTAATCTATAAATCAGCTATTTTTTACGGAGAATAAAGAGATGCTCAAAGTTTTCTTACTCTAGTAATTATTGAATTTTATGCTATTGTTCGTTAAACCTATCAAAAGTGCCTCAAGATTCTCAGGAGACATTTTAGAGAAAATAATGCGCAAACTTCTCCGTTAGACTCTGTATCTGTTAGATGTGTAAAATTCATCAAATGATGTTCATGTAAAATTCATATTTGAAGCTAACCTCAAACTATTTCAACAATTGTGAGCCCTTTTTTAATTTAACCATTTTCGAAAATAAATTACATTTAGCAAGTTTTCTGGTTTATAGGGACCGTCCTTTGCCTTATTTTTTGCATAACCCAACTTGATTTGTTTACTAATACATAATATATTAATCGCTCTATTGGCTTAGTTCATCTCCTTTCAGCATACCAAAAAAAAAATAAAATAAAATATATATATTAATCGTTTTTACAAGAAAAAATGCAAACAAAAAAAATCATACTTTTCTAGCTTCCTATGAAAGCAAAAAAAGAAAACAATAATAATAATAATAATTGCTTGAAATTTGAATAATAGTTTAAGAAAAGAGGTACAATCGTCTCCTTAAGGTTTGAATCTTCTTCCATCTCGTTATTATTGTTGCTTATAATGTTCTTATGTTCTTATATTTAAAGTGAATGTTAATGATAGTGATTCGTGTCGTAAACATCAGTGTGTGTGTGTGTGTGTATGTATGAATATGTGCATTTTTTTTTATTTATAATAAATGTTTCTGATCACAAAAACCGAAGTCGTGACAATTTGATGTGCTTTTGTTTCGTTTTAACATAATACGAGCATAAAGGTTTTATGCACATATATACACAACATGTCCACCATAATGATTTGGTTTTGCTGGTTACTGTTTTTGATGGCGTAAAGGCAGGCAACAATAACAACATTGGCAATCGTAAAAGTAACCGATCGCAGAAACCTCTACCACCATTAAGAGAAATAACAACAACTACAACAAACTGCATATACAATACTTATTTCTCCGCTTTCGTTGCTTTGTTTATATGCACGTAAAACAACCACCAATTGCTGCACCATCGTGCACATCATCAAAACTTACTCACACAACTTGCATCAATATTGTGTCTTTTTTTTGTCTTACATTACATTGCACATGCTTCATGATCGTGTTTGTGCATTCAATCGATAGATCTACTCATATTTGGTTTGCCTGTTATTCAAGTTGGTTGGTACTGTTTCTTGGTGGTGCTGTTATAGTCCTCCTTCGGTCAATGTGAAATATGTGCCAAAGGGTTTGACAAACAAATACACTTACACGCATACAAACAAAACACATTTTTTGCTCTCTGCTTTCTCCCTTTCTCTCTCTGTCTCTCTCTCTCTCTCTCTGTCTCTCTCTCTTCCCACTCCTTCTTTCTTTCTTTCTCTTTCAACATACTTTCTCACTTAACCATTACGTTTGCGTTGCTAAAGTGCTCTTGATCGTTTTATGCCTGCATTCTCTGCCATACTTTAACACTCGGGAGTTTCAACATTTTTTCCTCAAATCAATGGAGGTATACACATACACATATTGGATTGCACGTGTATTTGTTGCATGTCGTTTAAAGCTAGAAATTTCGTTATTTTTAATGTGTTCATGTTCAGTTCGTTCAGTCATGTTGCATCTGCTTTTAAACAATTTCAATTGACAGTTTTGTCACTCGAACACTAGGAAAATATTTCGTGTTAATGATCCCTGGTTAAGTTTCTGATATATAGTATAATATAATGATAATGGGCTACTTCTGCTAAAAAAAGTACAGGCATACAAATCCACTGTCACACATATACGTACGTGCTTGCATTCAAATGCACAGAGCTGCCAAGTGGCAAATTAGTCATCAAGCCATTTTTTTATATTTACGTAAAAACTGAAACTCTGCTCAATAAGTGCTAATCCCATCGATGAAAATTAGTGTTAACCGAAAGGACTCGAATTTGGAGGACAAGCCTCGTGAGGCAGCATTTCTCAGTTCACTGCCTCCAATTTGTCGCGAATCGGTTTCGCCGTAGCGGAAAGCTAGTTTTCATTGGAACAAAAAAACGTGTCTTACCCATTTTTGATATTCCAGTCATTCTTTGAACACCAATATCGTATTTGCATACCTAATAAGAATAACATAACTATAGCTTAAGTTTCTTACATCTATTTTTTTGGCAACACTCTCATTTAAAGCGAATAGAAAGCACTTAATCCATGTAGTAGTGCTGCAGCAAGCAGTTTCACTTACTCAAAAGAAAAACGCGTTATTTTTCATGTTAAGCTCAGTAACTCTTCCAGCTTACGTGATACGAAAGTGATTAATTGTACCACTTAATATAACTTTACAATTACAAGATTTAAACGTCTTAGTACAACACTTTGATTAAAGTAACAAATGCTTATATGATTATCACACTTGATATCCCTGAAAGTTGGTTTTTGTCACAACCATTTAGTCTGCAACAAAAGATTGGCTCTGGGAAACCGAAGGAGTATTACTTTGTTATTGGCCGAGGAGGTCCGCCTGCCGCAGCGAATATGAAATGTCAATAGTTGTTTTGCTTACTCAGCCCGCGCCTACCATTCTCGCGAAATATAATAGGAGATCATATAGAAAGATATGAATTTCGATGTTCTTGGTAACCCTGCGTTTTCTGTTTTTATCTTTTTCTCTCCCTTTCTCCTTCTTTCTCTCGCGCATTCTTTCACATCTGTTTTTTATAACAATTCGTAAATAAATGTGATTTTGTAATAAGATAAACTTTTTTCAAGTGTTTTACTTGTTGCATGTGCA